GCTAGCTGAGTGCGTAAATTAGCCATCGGTTTGTGCGCCACCTATATTTGGTGTTTCCGCAAGTGTCTTTCAACGAGTTCAGACACGCTCCTTATATACGAAAGGACTCGCCATGTGTTTGTTTTGGGCGCCTCGGTGGAACTATCTGGTTCCCTTTCGTTGGGTTGTCGTTGTCTCATGCATCGGCGTACAAAGTCTCCGGGGTAACCATTGCGGGAAAACAATTCAAACAGATAATTCAGCTCGATTCGGTAGGTTTCTTCGTCAGAGCAGTGTGTCGTCGCTCTGTGTAGCAGACTGTTGACGGCACTCCTTTTGTGAGAGATGGGGTTGTTTCTTTCATAATTAAGAATAACTTCCGCATACGTGTCTTTGCGGTAAACCGACGTTTACATTCACAGTGGCGGGCTGACTTCATCTGTCACGCGTTTAATGTCCATGACAGTCACATATAGTAACTACAAAGCACTTTTTTTCGCTCACTTCAAAAATGCCCATTCTGTGGTTACATTAGCCGATCTGGAGCGGGCACATGTGTGATTTGCCTGAAGGTAAGGGAGAGTAGTGAGGATGTGGTTTGACCGGCGATGATATGCCGTAGGTTTTCGTGGATGTGCATAAAGCAGAAAAGGACCATGTGCTAACAGAAGGAGCTTGGTCAATGCGAAGCCTGGAGCCGATGGTAAGAAGTTAAACTTGGCCTCGAGCAACTGAATTGTTAGTTTATCCGCAAGGGGTCAGTTAGGCCGATGCGTGGTGTGACGGTACGGTTGCAAATAAGAATGGATTAAGCGCAAAAGCAATAAATGTTTTTTTCTGTAAAGACTGGAAGAGTTTTCAAACACAGAACCATACACGTCAGGCCAAGAATGAGCCTTATCCGCAAAGTACGTCATTCATTGACATTCAAAGACAACCACCTGGAGCACAACTGTTGGTCAAAGTAGCTGGCAAAAAACTGTATGCATTTTTTGCGTTTGGAAGCCCCATTAGGCATAACCTTAGCTGGATTTTCGATAAGATTTTAACAGTGTTTCGATCCTCTGTTAGATTGACAAGGGCAGGAGGTGAATACTCCAGTTGATGCCGCATTCTCTCGCTCATTACGGGGCAGAGGCCGTGAGAAATATTATATGATTTCAAATATAGACCACTTATGAAACTATAGGCCGACATCGATCTCACCGAGCCATTGTCATAGTAAATACTAACTTAAATCATGTCATCCAGCGTATTGACTTGGGAAACCTCTGATTATACCTCTTACGCTGCGACAGATATTGACCATTTAAGAACCCCAGCTTTCTTCAGCCGTCCATACGTTCAAGTGAGGAACCTGGACAGTTTTATACCGAAACAACAACACATATTCTTTACAGTTTCCAAATCTACTGGGAATGTTCAAATTACTTCTATGACCGGCGTTCCATTTCCAACAACCTCAGTTTTAATCTTGCTTGGGAATGGAACTTCTCTACAAAATTATGCCGTCCCCTCGTGTTCGCGTATTATCAAATATTTCTATAAGACAGATAGACACCCACATTTACTCAAACGTGCGCCTTTTGGTTT